ATAAGTCATAGAGCTGGGATTCAAATTCAGGTATGTGCATATAGAATACTTTCTGCTACATTATACCAGTTACTGAGGGTAACTGAAAAATTTAATACTTATCATGGACCAGGGACTATGTGACTATGTTAAAACATTATTAATCTTTACAATAATCCTATTTAAAAATCTGTAGCTCTAAAAGAATTTTATAGAACATTTATAAAAAAATCATCAAGATTTTTCAGGGCAAGTTAAAATGTTTTAAAATAGTTTGAGGTCATCTTGATAGTCATTTCACTACCCATTTCTCAGTCTCTTCGGCAAAATTTCCTTTCACTTACAGCTACCTGACCATCCTACACTAAATATGCAAATAATTTAATCTTTCAACTTCTTGAATTTGTGTGCTCTTTTATGTACATATGTTGGCTGACTGGAAGAGAAGGAGGCTGGGGTATACATGGGCAAGTACCGTTTATTGTGGACAAATGGTGAAAAAATGTTACTGATATCCATAGATAAGTTCCTTAAGTCATGTAAAGAGAGACTGCTACTAAAAGTTTGCTTTATTTTGTTGCTGAATCAAGCACTAGCTGCTAGTTACAGTTATTTAATTGTGCCTTCCAAACTCACAGTTAGCTTAGCCTTATCAATAACCAAATAATAAACTAGGTCCCAATGGTTATTTCCACATCTAGATTGTTCAGGTGATCAGGAACTCTTTTATTTGTGTTCTTTAGCTTTTAGTTCTTGCTTATATCTATAAAGAAAACAGAAAGAAAAATAATCATCAATAATAATAGATACATTTATGGTAAGGAGAGAATGGGAAACATACTCCATTTCTTCTTTCCTGGTGGTCAAGTAGCTACACAGTTGTAAAGTGAATCTTCTGAGGGGCTTACGGGTAGAAACAGGCAGAAGCAAAAGGATTCCAAGAGTTCATTTGCATCTGGTTTCTGCTCAGATAATAAGATCACAACTGCCAAAAACTTGTAACAGCTTAGCTAACATATAGTTTCCTGTGCAAAAGTATTATTTTATTAAATATTCTCATTCTGGAATTTTACAAGAGTATGACAAACGTGATCATATGTATAAAATTTAGTAAAATGTGGTCATCTAGAATTTTTAAGTTTATACTCAAAAAGCACCTTTCCTAAGAATATGATCAACAGGGAATGGGGTAAAGTAAAATATACTAAAGTAATCACTAAAGTAAAATGTCACCAAAGTAAAATATACTTCTAACCACTAAAGTAAAATATACTTCTGTGATGCAGGCAGGCTATTAGGTAAATAGTAACACTTAAGTTCACTAACACTAGGGACCATTTCCTCAATTCTCAATCCAAAGAAGTAACCACAGAGCCATAGTCTTTCCTTCCCTTCTACCACACCTTAGGCTTCATTTATTATTCCTCCGCATTTATAATAGAATGGAGAATAGTATAAGCACAAGAAGAAATGTATTCTATGAAGCCAACCATACCTCCTAAGTTTCTCAAAAGATCCTGATTTCAAATATTTGATCATAATATCATTGCCATAAATCACTGACAAATAATATTAACTACAGAGTAGTTTAAAAAATTTCCAGTGCTCATGGAACACTTTCCCAATGAAAGCAAAGACCTCACTGTAATATCATTACCAATACTACATAACAATACATTTCAGTTCCACTTTATTATATACAATTCAAAGTAGGCCGAGTGTGGTGGCTCACGCCTGTAATTCCAGCACTTTGGGAGGTCAGGGTGGGCGGATCATGAGGTCAAAAGATGGAGACCATCTTGGCCAACATGGTGAAACCCTGTCTCTACTAAAAAGAAAATTAGCTGGGCATGGTAGCACATGCCTGTAGTCCCAGCTACTCAGGAGAGAGGCTGAGGCAGAAGAATCGCTTGAACCTAGGAAGTGGAGGTTGCAGTGAGCCAAGATCGTGCCACTGCACTCCAGCCTGGCGACAGAGTGAGACTCTGTCTCAAGGAAAAAAAAAAAAGAAAGTAAGTGATAAAAGGTTCACACAGGAAATTAATAAATCATAAACTGTATATGTTGTCTTAATAAAAGAGATTATGTGAAAGGTTTAACCATCTAAACGATGCACAGTTAAATCTAAAAACTAGGTAACATACTGCTGAACTGATTTTAACTTATTTGTAAACCCCTGGACTTTTCTAGAAATGTTAAATTTCTACTTCAGGTACTTCTTGTCTTAGCATTATATGTGAATCTTTAAAAAAAAATTAGTGCTATCTGAGTAGCTTTTGAAGGAGTTTTAAAAATATCTCTGGTAGGCTTACCTCCAAATGCGAAAAAGCTGAGAGGCTCCTGCTGCCCCCACAAAGAAATTAACAGCAAACAGACTCCAATTTTTTGGAATAATTACGAGTGAGTATCTTGACCAAATAAACCCTGTTGAAACAAAATGTTATTTTAAAAAGCGTACATACTGCTGCAATAACTTCAGTGAATACTTAATATTGAGTAAAATAATTATAAAAATAATGCAGGATGAAGGACAAAGAAATGCTATACTCTGAATTTTCAATAATGTTTCTGTAACTTAGTGTTACACAAAATATTCGATTCTTACATTAAAGAGGAATCTTTAAATATGAACTGTAATTTTCTTCCTACTTTAAAAAATATATGTTCATGGCAAAAACCTGACAAACAAAAGCCCATTCAGATACTTATTCTTTCTCTGACTCCTCCATCCATAATTTAATAGCTTCTTAGACATAATGCAGTTAATTTCTTTGTGTGTGGGTGTATTTCAAACACTAAGCCACTAAATAAACTGATATAAAACTACATAAAAATAATTTATATTCTACAAGGAACACAGAAGATACTTATTTAATTTACCTGTAGCCATCAAAACAGTGGATTGAGCTGTGCTAAGTTTTTCTGCAGGTCTGGCCATATCAGCTAATCCAGCACACACCAACCCCTGGGAATACATATTAACACATAGAAAGAAAAAACGTATCATGAGTGTGGAGTAATAGTTTTTAATTTTAGTTAAGCACAAAACATTTTTGAGATTTCCATAAGTTAGCAGCTATAATTTTAATATCCATGCATTAAGAAAATGTAGATTACAACAAAAAAGCACAATGAATTAAAAAACTGCTTTTTGAACTAATTTTATTTTGTTAAGCACACTAAGCAGTTTCATATATCTGAAAGTCAGTAGTATATATATAGATAAGATATATATGTATGCATTATATGTACATACATATTTTGGGTTTTTGTCTATTTCACATATGAGTTTATATTCTTTATATATGTTGGGAACTACTACCTACTGGCATGGAGGATACCTGAAAGCTGTTAAGGGCATTTCTATAGATTCTTCCTTTGATGTTTTCTGATAATGTTATTATTTTTAATTAAATTAAAGTTTTGATTCAGGGGTACATGTGCAGGTTTGTTACATGGATATATTGTATGATGCTGACGTTTGAGCTTCAAATGAATTATTTTTTAAGAGTGTAAATATCAGAAAAACTGTTATTTTAGTTTTTTGCTTAGATCTTTTTTTTTTTTTTTTTGATAGAGTCTGGCTCTGTCACCCAGGCTGGAGTGTAAAGGCACAATCTAGGCTCACTGAAACCTCCTCCTCCCAGGTTCAAGCAATTCTCATGCCTCAGCCTCCAAGTAGCTGGGATTACAGGTGCGTGTCAACACACCTGAATAATTTTTGTATTTTTAGTAGAGACGGGATTTCACCATGTTGGCCAGGCTGGTCTCGAACTCCTGACCTCAAGTGATCCGCCTACCTTGGTCTCCCAAAGTGCTGGGATTACAGGTGTAAGCCACCACACCTGGCCATTAGATCATTTTTCTTTAACATCAGCATATAAATGGTCATTTCTTTTCTGTGTTTTTGACACTCTCTATTGTGCCTATGGGTTTTGCTCCCACCAGATGAGCTGTATTTTTACCAAGTTACTATGTTTGCCCCCAAATCTGTTTATGCCAGTTTTACCCGTTAATGTAATTTATATGATTTAACAAATTGTTTTAAAGAAAACTAAGCAGGTGGGCACCGTGGCTCACCCCTGTAATCCTAGCACTTTGGGAGGCTGAGGTGGACAGATCGCCTGAGGTCAGGAGTTTGAGACCAGCCTGACCAATATAGTGAAACCCCATCTCTACTAAAATACAAAAATCAGCTGGTGCGGTGGCAGGCATCAGTAATCCCAGCTACTTGGGAGGCTGAGGCAGGAGAATCACTTGAACCTGGAAGGCGGAGGTTGCAGTGAGCCGAGATCGCACCACTGCACTCTAGCCTGCATGACAGAGCAAGACTTTGTCTCAAAACAACAACAACAACAACAACAACAACAAANACAAAAAAAAAAAAAAAAGAAAGAAAACTAAGCTGGAAATTATATGGGATGCACTACAGTGTAATTTATCCAGGATAGAAAATATGAAACTCAAAAATCCATACACAAATAAAAGCTTTAGCTTTAAAGAAGACTGATTGTCAATGAATATATATTTATATCCTTTAGGTTAAAATAAAATATTTAAGGTACATAGGTTTTTTTGTTTTTTTTTTTAGGATTATCCACTTTGACCTTTATGATTAGTTATGTGGTTTCAACTAAAGTGATTACGAAGGACTCTACTATAGTTATATTTTTGAAGGCATATGGCCTGAAAGTCTTAATGTTATAGAACATATGTGGCTTTCAGAAGCAACTATTATGTGTCATGTACAGAATTCTACAGATTAATTATCAAATGCTCTGGGATAAGAAAACACAATAAGAGGTACATAAGGTAAGTATCTAATAGAAGAAGTCTGTTCACCAGAGAACAAAACAAAGAAGTTTCTATTGCTATGCTGTCATCTGGAGACTATGTATGACTACAACATGTACTTAAAATAGTTGTTCTTAAAGAGACAGATGATCAAGAATGCACTTATGAGTATATAATGCTGTCAACATCCCACAGCAGTAATGAACCAGGTCAAATAAACACCAAAGCTATTGATAAATTCAATAAACTCCTAAACTATGATAAATTTGAGGTCAAAGAGGCCCCTAAATTTATTGTGAATAGATGAAATCACTCAAACACTTTTAATGATTGAATACTTCAGCAATAAATTCCACTATAAAGATATATAATTTTAATTGCAGGTATATATAATTTTAAGTGCAGATAGGGAGAGAAGAAGGAAATGGTAATGAACTTCCATTAGTCTAAGGGGTTTTAGGATCTTTTGTCAATATGTAGATATGAAAAAAAAAAACAAAACAAAAAACTGCTCCCTAGATCTCTGTAATATACAGCTCCAAAATCTCTTATATTCTAATCTTGTCACTTTATAGTTTAAGAGATAAAATGACAGAGACTAAACGTGCCCAAGGCCATAAGATTGAGTCATACCCAATTCCAACTCTAACATTCTCAACCACTTGAATTTACAACTGAGTTTCTGAATTGTTCTAACCATTTTAAAAGTACATTTGGCTGGGTATAGTGGCTCACACTTGTAATCCCAGCACTTTGGGAGGCCGAGGTGGGTGGATCACTTGAGGTCAGGAGTTCAAGACCAGCCTGGCCAACATGGTAAAAACCTGTCTATACTAAAAATTCAAAAAAATGAGGTAGGCATAGTGGTGGGCACCTGTAATCCCAGCTGCTCAGGAGGCTGAGGCAGGAGAATCGCTTGAGCCAGGGGGGCAGAGGTTGCAGTGAGCCGAGATGTAACCACTACACTCCAGCCTGGGCGACAAAGCGAGACTCCGTCTCACAAAAAAAAAAAAAAAAGTACATTTAAGAGAATTACAACAGCCTACAACTCAACAACAACAAAAAACAAACAACTTGATCAAATTAAAAAATGGGCAAAGGACTTGAATAAACACTTCTCCAAAGAATATACACAACTGACCAATAAGTACAGTAAGTATACGTTCAACATGACTAATCATTAGGGAAATGCAAATAAAAGCAACAAGATCTCTAACACCCATTAGGTGCCTATCATAAAACGAAAACCAAAATGCTCCCTCATCAAAAGCAACAAGTGTGGGTGAGGATGTGGAGAAATTAGAACCCTTATGAACTGCTGGTAGAAATGCAAAATAATGTAGCTGCTGAGGAAAATAAAAAATATTAAGCAGAATTATCATATGATCCAGCAATTCAACTTCTGGGTATATACTTTTAATTCAAGAAGAATTAAGAGTATGGACTTAAACAGATACTTGTACATCAATTATTCATTCATTATTCACAACAGCAAAAATGTGGAAGCATACCAATTGTCCAATCAACATATAGATGAATTTAAAAAATGTGGTAAATACATACAATGGAATGCTATTCAGCCCTAAAAAGAAAGGAAATTCTGACACAAGTGACAACATGAATGTACCTTGTGGACATTATGCTAGGTGAAATAAGCCAACTACAAAAAGACAAATAATATTTGATTCCATTTACATGAGGTACTTAGAGTAGTGAAATTCACAGAGACAGAAGGTCGAATGGTGGTTGCCAGGGACTGGGAGAAAGAGAATGGAGAATTATGGGTACAGTCTTACTTTTGAAAGATAAAAAGAGTTCTGGAGATTAACCAATCTCCAGAACGTTAATAACGTTATTAATGTACTTAACACTACTGAACTGTATACTTTGAAAATGGTTAAGATAGTAAATTTTATGTGTATTTTACCACATTAAAAAATAAAAAAGCCTACAGACCAGTAGTTTTGAAAAACTTTAGAGGGCATCAGAGAATCACATGAAGATGTTATGAAAACACAGCTCACTAGACTCCATGTCTAGAGTTTTAGATTTAGTAGGTCTGTGATGGGGCTGAACAAGTTCTCAAATTATGCCACTGCAGGTCCAGAGAGATGACAATTTAAGAAGCACAGTTATAGACCCAAACTGGCCCTTTCAACATAAAATTAATGATTTGCTACAAACAGCCATAATTGTTTCTTTTCAGCTAAGTGAGAACTTTGAGAAAGAAAACTCTGGGGAAGAGGAAAAGCACTGGGTTTGGAGTCAGAAGTCCTAGGTTCTCTTATTTACCAAATGCTAATCTTTATACTTAAATAAATAAGTCTACTTTTTGAGACTAACTTTCCTCACCTATATTTTGGTGTTAGTACCTTCAGTTCTCATACTAAATTAATAATAAAAGTTAACTTTGGGGTTCTAACTACTTTAATGTTTTACTTCATAATAAAATTTTAGAATAAAATTCCATGTCCTTATGGCACACAATTGTAAGTTTTTTGATAACAACTATGTTCCCAGAGAGCCTCTTATCTAAAGAGTTCAGAAAAACTAAAGTAGATAGTTACTTTATGTAGAAAATAATGTCTGAGAATTGATTTTCATGAAATCATCTAGGCATACCAAGAATATTCTAAAGTATATCCTTCATATAAGTTACTTTAAATTAGTAAATTCCTATTAAGGAGTTTTTCTTTCCGTAGCCTCTGCAAAAACTCAAGACTTACCCATTTCATAATTGGAGCCCAGAAAAAAACTGTTCTGGGACCTGGAAAAAAAAAAAAAAGAAAGAAAAGAAAAATTCAGGAATAAACCAAATATCTTATACATGTCTTTTAAAAGATGTCACCAAACTTTACAAACTAAAGGATTTATCAATCTATTTTTAACCACTTTTACTATGCTTTTTGCATACTTTGTATTTCAGTTAACACTTAGAGAGGCACCACAGTATCACAGTACAGTTCACCCTTGAATAGGTTTGAACTGCACAGGTCCAACTATATTCAGATTTTTTTCAATAAATATACTGCTGTATAAAAACATTTTGGGGAAACAGTTCTAATGTACTTTCATACTAGCTTTACACTCAAGAAGTATTCTCATTCCAAGTGAAAATGAACCCAGTGATAACACCCCATTTTTGTGTATTTTATGCACTGTGTAATTCAACTATAAAAATGGTCAGTCTTTTTTTTTTTTAAAGAGAGTTTCGCTCTTGTTGTCCAGGCTAGAGTGCAGTAGTGTGATCTCAGCTCACTGCAACCTCCACCTCCCGGGTTCAAGCAATTCTTCTGCCTCAGCCTCTCTAGTAGCTGGGATTACAGGTGGCTGCCACCATGCCCAGCTAATTTTTTTTTTTTTTTTTAGTAGAGACAGGGTTTCATTATGTTGGCCAGGCTGGTCTCAAACTCCTGACCTCAGGAGATCCACCTGCCTCAGCCTCCCAAAGTGCTGGGATTACAGGTATGAGCTACCGTGCCCACCTAAGGTTAATCTTAACATTAAGCAGGAAAATCTGAAAAATGTTAAAGTGACAATTGCTGCCCTGTAACTTTTTTTTCTTAGTAAGCAGGTTTAGAAAAGTATCGCCAGATAGTGCAAACTACTTGCCTTTAGCCTTACGTGATAGCAATGCTACACATTCTATCTTCTATAATTTCACACAGTCCTTGATATTTTTTTTTTTATTTTTAATTTTTTTTTTTTAATTTTTTTTTTTTGGGGACGGAGTTTCGCTCTTGTTACCCAGGCTGGAGTGCAATGGCGCGATCTCGGCTCACTGCAACCTCCGCCTCCCGGGTTCAGGCAATTCTCCTGCCCCAGCCTCCTGAGTCGCTGGGATTACAGGCACGCGCCACCATGCCCAGCTGAATTTTTTGTATTTTTAGTAGAGACGGGGTTTCACCATGTTGACCAGGATGGTCTCGATCTCTTGACCTTGTGATCCACCCGCCTCGGCCTCCCAAAGTGCTGGGATTACAGGCTTGAGCCACCGCGCCCGGCCCAGTCCTTGATATTTTTTATCCCTCTCAAACTAATTCATATTATTCTCACAGCAAAATTCATTAATTCAATGTCATTTAAAAATCCACCACAGTGCATTTTACATATTTTACTCTAGTTATTTGTAATTCTATGAACCTATCAAGATTATGACTTCCTTGAGGCTAGTGGCTCAATATTATTCATACTTGTACCCCTACTACCTAATAGAATGTAGAATGTTAAATAAAAAGGAAAGTTAGCCAGTAGAATTAGAAGCAGTTTATACTAATTGAAGTTTATTACCCTAATATACAATATGTATGTGTATATATAATATAAAGACATATATATGCATGTGTATATATATATATATATATATGTATATATACATATACACACACACATATACAAATAACTTTTAAAGTACTTTAAAATCATAAGTTGTTTTTATCAGCCTGATACTTAAAAATTGTTAAGTCTGGCTTATGCTTTTAACAGCTTTTTTTTTTTCCCCTGAGACAGAGTCTTGCTCTGTTGTCCAGGCTGGAGTGCAGTGGTGCAATCTTGGCTCACTGCAACCTCCAACTCCTGGGTTCAAGCGATTCTTCTGCCTCAGCCTCCCAAGTAGCTGGGACTACAGGCACATGACACCACACCCGGCTAATTTTTGTATATTTTAGTAGAGATGGGGTTTCACCATATTGGCCGGGCTGGTCTCCAACTCCTGACCTTGTGATCCACTAGCGTTGGTCTCCCAAAATGCTGAAATTACAGGTGTGAGCCCCTGCACCCAGCTGCCTTTAATAGTTTTTTTAAAAATATGCTTGCCGATTTTCTAATTTAATCCTAAAGTCCTGCAGCAATCTAAGTTTCATCTTCTCATTTTTCAAAGAAGCTGGGTATCATCATTAGAATAATTCTTCAGACACTAGAAAGAAGATCATGGCACAAATCCTGTCGTTCCTTGTGGGCCTGAGTAATTATAATGCTAAACTTTATTTTCTCACATACATCTGGTATCTAACCATTTTTACATTTTCTTGTGTACAATAGAATTTTCCGAATTGTAAGTTTTAGAATAAATCTAGAAACAGTGCTGAAACAGCTGCTGAGAGAAATAAAACTATCACAGAGTCTAAATTTTGATGTTCTTATAACTGAGTGAAAAACCTATCTATATTGTTTCTGGTTATCCAGTTCTCTAAAAAGTATTGAGTGGTCACAGCCACCATACACATAGAACTCTAGCCACACCTTTTTCTCTCCACAAGATATGAAAATAATTTAGTTTCTTCTTTGATTAAGGCTAGGGTGGAATTTGAAAAGAATTTTTTACAAAGGGAAAAGGGGAATATAAAAGAAAACAATCTAACTTTCATTTTCTCATTCTTCAAAGAAACTGGGTAAAGGCACTGAGTTTCAGAATATATAATCCAAATTTAACCAAATTTTAGCCCAGGTCAGTGGTTCTTACCAGGATTGTCCCCCAACTGGGGCAGATGTGGCCGCTGCCGCTGCTGCTGCCATCTAGTGGCTACGGGCCTTGGATGCTGTTAAACATCCTCCAATGCAGAGGACAGCTGCTCCCAGAAAGTAGAAGGTTAAGAAATCCTGGCCTAGGGAGAACAATAAGCTAGGCAAACATTCAACTAGTTTCATGCTATTTTATGACTCTTCAGTTTATACTGTCCTTTCTCAATATTCTGCTTTGTCTTTATCTAACGCCTATCCATCAGAAACTCTTCTCAGGCTTCATCTCCTCAAGGAAGCCTTAAAAAAAAATCCAGGTTAGGCTAAATACTCCTTCTCTTAACTACCAAAGCAGTCTTTATATCCTTCTATTGTTTTCTGTTAAAATGATTATTTATGCATCTGTCACATTAACCCAAAAACAAGGTCCATTTCACAGGGCACAGTTGCGCGTGCCTGTAGTCCCAGCTACTCAGGAGGCTGAGGTGGGAGGATTGCTTGAGCCCAGGAGTTCTGGGCTGTAGTGTGTTATGCCGATCGAGTGTCCGCACTAAGTTTGGCATCAATATGGTGACTTCCCGGGAGCGGGGGATCTGGGGATCACCAGGTTGCCTAAGGAGGGGTGAACCTGGTGGGAAACAGAGCAGGTGGGAAACAGAGCAGGTCAAAACTCCGGTGCTGATCAGTAGTGGGATCGTGCCTGTGAATAGCCACTGCACTCCAGCCTGGGCAACATCCCGAGACCCCTTCTCTTAAAAAACAACAACAGCAACAACAACAAACCAAAACAACAATAACAAAAAACAAGGTCGATTTCTTAATCTTCCTTGACAAATAATAAATATTTGCCAAAGGAACTGAGCTGGATTCACCATGTCCAGTATAGATGCTAATCAAAGATATTCAAACTTTCTGTCTGGCCCAGATTTGCTTCGACACTGCTTCATCCTCAAGGCCGGAATTTATTGTTTACTCATGTCTAGGCACATCAGGTTCCCTTTATAATAAGGATATATTAGATTTCACTCACTAGTTACTCTACTCTTAGACCACAGCTCTCTTCCCCTGAGTCTGATGCCATAATGCACTAATCCTATAAATCAGTCTTTTCAAACTCTCTGGAAATTTAGGGTGAGATTCTGGGATTCCGATCATCACACCTGGTTCATTTTTCTTTGTCATACACAGTGTCTCTGGCTCATATGCAGTATCAATTACTAAATTTAATTTTTATCCTCGCATGGAGTTTTGGTTCATCAATCAAAAGTCAGTTAGCATATTGTTTCAGTCTCTGGCTGAATGTTCATTTTTACTTGAACTCTTCAGCAGACTTCTCTTTTTCTTTTTTTTTGAGATGGCGTCTCGCTCTGTCACCCAGGCTGGAGTGCAGTGGCGCGATCTTGGCTTACTGTAACCTCCGCCTCCCAGGTTCCAGTGATTCTCCTGCCTTACCCTCCGGAGTAGGTGGTACTATAGGCACATGCCACCACACCCAGCTTATTTTTTGTATTTTTAGTAGAGATAGGGTTTCACCGTGTTAGCCAGAATGGTCTTGATCTCCTGACCTCATGATCCGCCTGTCTTTACCTCCCAAAGTGCTGAAATTACAGGTATGAACCACCTCACCCACAGAGTTCTCTTGTTATATTTCAAAGCTGATGTTTTTTTTGTCACCCCAAAATTGTTTTCTGAGTAAAGCCTCTAGATTCTGGTTCCAAGCTTGGTTGACAAGCTTAAATGATTGATCCTTGGGGTTAACAGTCAATCTTTTCAGTAGGTTTGACTAGTCACTAATTTACTAAATTGCCCAGAGCTAGGTAATAGTTTTATAATATTAACAGCATGCCCTTCCCTGCCAAACCAAACAAGAACTGAAAAAACTTCAAACATCAAATTATGGTTGCTAGAACCTGGATCAAGAGAGGTATTTTAGTGAGTGAATAATTTTAAACTATGAAAACAAACTCTAATTTTAGTTTAATAACTGTCACATACTAAATAGAAAAATAGCAGTAGCAAATACTTAAGACCTTCTAAATTGCTAATTTTTCTGAGATACTAGAGGATGCTGACAAACAATGAAAAAATCAGTTTAATATCTATAAATGCAAACAAGTAGTGTTTTCTTAATTGCTAAAAAAAAGAAAAAATGGTCACACAATGGGTTAACAACATTTTTAAAGAAAACTAAGACCAGGTGTGGTGGCTTACACCTATAATCCCAGCACTTAGGGAGGCTGAGCAAATCACGAGGTCAAGAGATCGAGACCATTATGGCCAACATGGTGAAACCCTCTCTCTACCAAAAAT